CATTACGCATGGTTCAATTTGACCTGATACTGTCCCCCCGAGCGACCCCCGGGACAAGTCCAGCCCTTTGGACCCGGGGGTGGGGAATGGGGAATTGTTAGAAGCGGTCCTGTCCCGGGGTTAGGGGGTGGGGCAGATCAAAATTAACTGCTCTTGATTTTGCAAAGAACGAGTCTTTTCTCGCGCGGTTTACACGATGTCTGCGGCCCTCAAGACTACTTATTTTTAAGGGCAAACACAGGAATTTGTCTGAAAGTCATGGTTGGAGAGGAATAACCCATCTGTAACCCTTCTGTATTTGAAGGTATGTTTAAAATTTTCATGCGAATATGCGTGTGAAATATTTATTGATTTGTATTGCTGCACTCTATATCAGTCCAGAGACAGAAATTTTCATCTGCGCATTACGTAATTCCTCAAAAACCTTCTTACAATTCATATTAGGGGGAAAAAAAGCTACATTCCTTGTACAGAACCTAATTCTAAAAATTCTAAAAAAACAATGACTAATTATTCCTTAAAATCCTATCTACAAATCATTTTTTTTATTAATAAAAATAAAACTATAAATCAGCTGAGAAATGCCTTCTGAAACAAATGACCTTTAAGGGCCTTTTTAAAACCATTAACTGAATATTTATTTCTAATAAAAAGGGGAAGATCGTTCCATAATTTTGGGGCAGCCGTATAAAAAGATCGATCACCGAGTTGGTAAAAGACATGCATGATGGAATGTTAAGATAAGTTTGCCGTCATTTGATCATAGAAATTATCTGCCCCCAGTGTCTTTCACAGATACATGTTCGGAAATGTATGTCGGAGCGAGTTTATGAATGGCCTTGAAAGTTAACAATAAGATTTTAAAATGTATGGGATATGCCACGGGTAACCAGTGTAGGGCTCTTAGCAATGGTGCAATATGACAAAATTTGCTTTCTTCGAATACAAGGCATGTAGAGTTCTGGACTCTTTGCAGTTTCTGAATCTGATACGCAGGTAAGCCATATAACAGACTATTGCAATAGTCAATGAGGGTAGAAATAAAGGCATGTATCAGCGTTTCAGTACATTCTTTGCTAAGATATTTCCTTATCCTCCTGACATTGTAATTGTACAAATTTAATAGAATGCTGCAGAGCTTGTTTTCGTTATGTGATCACCCATTGATAGGTTAGAATTGAACCACATACCCAGATTCCTTCCAACGGACTTTTCGACGATATCAAACAGTCCACTTGACTGTAAAGGGAACTGGGCCAAGACACGAGCAATGAGGAGCACCATACCGAATGCCAAACTTAAGGACAGTGCGATTCAAACCCGGTTTTATGAAAACTGGGTTAGCAGATATTTTGTAACTTCTCTCAACTTCACGCCCTCTCTTAGCTTGTTTACTGTGTTGTTTGCTTATGTGGCATTTTTGGGGATTGTTTCGTGACTATGGGTTTGCGTAGAAGTGGCTATAGACAGAATTTCGCAAATTCAACCTCTTTCCAACCCCTCCCCCCCCCCGCCCCGACCCCTCCTAACGTGCAGGGTGTTTTTCTGTCCCTACCCAGAATTCTCTGTCTAACAAGTAATAGTTACTTGAAATCAGGGCGCGCCTAAAGCTGGTTTTGGTGCCGTTTAGCAGTTTATATTTCGTTATCGGTCACCTCGAGAAAAGTTTCCCCGAGAGCATCATGGTCAAAGCTCTGATATGGGACAAAGTGAATAAGATCCGCAAAGTCTACGTCGTCCAATATGGTACTGTATTCTCGATCCAGGCAGAGACAGAAAGGTACGATATTGTTCACTTTGCTAGGGTGACCACCATGTCTTTGGTTTCGGGAACAGGATTCTAGTAGTCAAGTCTATTAGGCGATTGCAGGTAAACTTTGACCAGGGCCAAGACTTCGTGTGAAAACAGGGTCTATGCTCGTTTGCCGACCGTGTGAGTGGAGGGTCTCAATGGGGTGGTGGCTTTTACGGTTATCGGCTAAAATTTTGGCTCTTTTACGGCTATCGGTTAATTTTTTTCAGTTACGGTTAACGAAAAAGTTAAAAATTAACTTCTTTTGTTTCAAAGAGTTAAATATTAATCAACCTGCATTTTTTTGAATAAGGGTCTTCGGATCATCTCGGGATGAAATAAGCTATTCTTTTATAAAGTATTTCACTTCTAATATTATTTTACACATAGTAATGTCAATAGCCAATTGAAAAATTATCTTCGTGAAAAAGCAAAAGCAGACACACGAACGCCAAATCAAAGCCGGGGCGCGACATTCATTAAAACAGAAATGGCCGTTTTCACACTAGAGAAGGATTATTCGTGTGAGACGGGTTATCCGTTTGATGATTCGCGTCAGATAGGTAATATGTCTTAATTTGAAAATGGAATAGTTTTAATTTGGAATGAACAATCTGCCTGACTTTTGAAGACGGGATTATCCGTTCCAGATAGCCTGTGTACAGCCGCCCCCTCCCCTCAGAAAAAATCGGAGAAGGGGTGTCTGTGGAGAGGACGCGACTAGACACAGGCTAGTCTCAGACGGATGATCCATTTCTAGCTATAGTGTCAAAAAGGCCAATAACAAAATTCCCGTGTCCAGTGTTTTTAATGATAGCGAAGGACTACGGAACGATTGTCTGCCGTTGCCTTGTCCGTAGGCTGCATTATTCCGCACGGCTAATGCGTTTCGGGTCACGTGGTCCGAGCGAGTTCACCACCGAAATGCCTTGACCGAAACTGCGTGGGTAGACGCCGTACAGGGACTAGGCATGGCAATGTCTACCGTAGCGTCAGAGAAAAACAGGGAAATGTTGCTTATCGGCAACGAGTTTTACAAACAGTGACATCTCTGCGTGTTGTTTCACTAGTGTTTCGAGGGCACGACCTCCGGAAAATTGCAAATATTAATCCCCAGCAAGAAGCCCCACTTTCGCTAGTTAGTTCCCAGAGAGAGCGCCGGAAATGGAGCCTAGGTCTAGGTTAACTCCTAAAAGGCGCTTCGCCTAACGTGCGTATGGAGTCACACTAGCTGGGAAATAAAAAACGCAACCATAAGTGAGTTTAGTACCTTCCTTAAAAGTAGCAAATCTAGGGAACACTTTCTTTTACGGTTAACTCTTTTTTACCCTAATTACGGCTAACGGTTAAAATTTTTCAATTTTTACGGCTATCGGCTAAATTTTTGGCCGTTTTACGCCTATCGGTTAACCCCATTGAGACCCTCTGAGTGTACCTCCGGGAACTTGAATTGAATAAGACGAGAGTAGGCTTTTTCCGAGTTATTTGATGATATTTCGCTTGCTTTAAACGTGAAAAGATTATGCGTGGTTTTGGATAGTCTTATCAGTGCCGGGAAAGTGAGTGATTATGTGATTTCCGGATGGTGTTGACAGGCAGAACTCAGGTGTGTTCACGTGGTTGACTGTTGTACTAAAATATTCTGAACCGACCATAAAGACGCTTCGTCGGTGTTAGCTTAAGTGATTGTGCCTTAGAAAACAAATTATCGACTCAGGGAAATTGGATCTAGGTCTAGTGTCAGCGGGTACTTGGCTTTGAACCATAGGCCGGGTTTTGCAGATATTGGGCAGAAGGTGATAATTTGTAGCCTGCGAATACGGCCATTTCTCCTTGCTCCTATCCACTAGGGACCTTTTGCCAGGAAGAACATCTGCGCCTCAGCGACAGAAATTCCATACTGCTGACGTAAATCAACGTTTACATAGTAAATACGGTAGTCATGAGGTTCCAAAAATAAATTTGCTTGACTTTATGTTTCCCCTGGTTGATTACGGTAAAGTTTTCTGTTTTACTGCGAACGAGCTCCAGCAAAACTCAGATGGCTTTTCTTAAGAAGAATATGTTCCAAGAAAGTTGTCTGTTTTGTAGTAGATTCATCACGTTTACAACACCGTTTACATTTGACCATTGTGGCCTTTTGCCTTCTGTCATTCGTAAGCAATACGTAAAGAAATATAACTACTATGTCGACCAATCAGAGCTCCTAACTAGATTCCGGACAGATTTTACGTCATTAGTATGATTTTACGTCATCAGTATGGAATTTCTTTTGCTGAGGGGCAGACGTTCCACCTGGCGAGATGTCCCTAACGGCGAGGAGCGAGGAGAAATGGTTGTATTCATAGGCTAGATACTTTCTGTACTATGTTTCAATGTTTGTTGCATGTCTGTTACGTGCGAAAACCTGTCATTTATCGGTCCGAGAAAATAGTAGTGTTTTGCTAGCTGTTAAAGTTGTTAAGTAAGCCTTAACCAGGCACTTCTTGACTGCATTTCACTGAACTTAAAAAATCCTAGACTGAAATGACCCCGGTTTGAAACTTCACGGGATCAGATTTTTGAATAAATGTCCTAAAATTTCCGTTATTTTTTAATTTGGTCTCAGTAAAATGCTGCTAGGGACCACTAACTTACTGCCTGGTGACAGATAAAGGCTTTTCATCGATCGGCCTTGGAATGATTTTTCATTGTTTTCAATTGACAAGTAGTAGAATGAGTTGATTTTTTGCTAACCCGGTTTTCAAAAATCTAGGTAAATGCTGTATTTTCTTTCTCTCATTTATCGCTAGAAAACGTTTATAAAAGTTATCAAAAAGTATCGTTTTGCTTTTGTACAGAAATGAATATCGATCCGGCTAAAAAAGATGTACCAAAAAATATGTACATGAGGTCCATTAGGAGTTCGGGGGTGTGGAATAGACAACCAAGAAAAGAAAAAAAATGCAAATCGGGCAGGGAGGAAGGTATGCCCAAGGGGGGTGGTAACAGGTCAAATTGAACCATGCATCAGACCATAGTTAATCCAAGTCTAATGGTTGGGAAACCCTTTGTTATATGTTTTTGTTAGCTTTTTTTGACATGACCGTGCACAACGTTTAATAGTATTCCTACCATTTTGAATTTACTGACCAATAGAAACATTTTAAAAGAAAAATCAACGCTAAAAAAGGTAACACGACGTTTCGAGAACTCCATGTCATCATTATCAAATGCGAAGAAAATTAGCATGAATTGATTTGTACAGAAAAAAGAAAGTGTCAGGAATATGTAAAGTTAAATCGAGGCGTGAAAATGGAACAGACTAACAATTAAATAAACCGTTTCGCCCTGGAGTCCGCTTGGGAGTTTAATGTAGGTCTTGTGTTTCTGATGATAAGCATTTCGAAGATCCAACACTCAAGCTTCCCTCGGCATTTCCTGCGGACCTTAAAGTTTGTGTTAAGATCCATACGTTTTAAGTTTTGTTTTTCCAAGAACTGCCCGCCAATAACGGAATGTTTGTATTCTCTACACGCTGATGGAGGTGGCGGCACGTGTAACTGATATAATTTGCATCGCACAAATCACATTTGAATTGCATTTAGTTTATTCAGTTACAATTTGTGAACAAAAAACAAAGGATTGTGCACGGTCAGGGAGCTTCCAACATAACCTACACCACCGTTGTTTTCAACTTTGATGTTTGCTGGCTTTCCTAACCAGTCTCCTCTACTAACTATGGTCAGACGAACCTATTTTGTACAACACTCGGTTGAATGGGGTCTTTCAAACAATGGGTCAGTTGTTTCGCCCACATTTCCTTGTCATTTGACTTGAAATAATCGATATAGCTCCTTTCTTTAAGTGCTTTAGGGAGTTTCCTTCCCTCGACATCATCGAGTCTAATGACGATTACACTATTGTCTCCTCTCTCGACTAATCGTCCTAAAGCCATATCCATTTCATGATGACAATATTTGCTTCTAAAGAAATGTCGTGATACCACAGCAATGGTTTTCCTGCTCTTGTAAACACTGTCTGCCATATTTTCTCTAAAAGGCTTTCCAGGTACGAAATCTCTGTAGTGAACACAGCACTTCAAAGCATTCTTTTCTTCAAGAATTGGGAGTAGTGTCGTTTTAACCCACTCCTCGTCTGCTGTGCTGTATATGATGAAAGCATCAAATTCGACTTCCGTATCTTTAACGTCTGTAATGAAATTGCAAATAACAAAAGACTTTAAGAATAAAATAAACCGTTTATTAATTTCTTGATTCTAGATCAGATTACCAATTTAAATACAAAAAAATAAAATTTTAAAAAAGGCCATATAATACACGAAGCAATACAGGTGAGTAGTTGTGCGACCTAACAGTAAATTGGTTTTTCCATAAAATACTCCTACAGGAAAATTTTTACGGGATTTCTACGGGAAAATTATTTCTGGGGGAATGGTTTCGGTGGACGATAAAAGGAATACTTTAGATGGCAAATGCTTCCCTTTGGACACCAACTGCCATTTATAAACTGCCCAAACAGGTCAAAGTGGGGGCGGGAAAAGGTGATTGCACGTACAACGTTAACAGATGCCCTCTCCGGTATTGTTTTAGCGCCGGCGCAAGAGCTATGTAGTACGTGCATTTCTTTTTCACAACCACGTGTTTTGGTTTATACTTTAAATCATTCATTTGTGTTCTTTTTTTGAAAACCTCGTTGATACTACTATATCATGGTCCAACGTTCAAGTTAAAGGCTTTCCCTTTGTATACATGTTACCCTAACCTGTGTAGTACGATTTTCCACGTTGGTGATGAAAGTACCAGTAACCGAACAGAGCCAAAAGAAGTAACACGAAAGCGGCGACTGCAACTAAAATGATGACAGCCTTGCCCGGCTTGTTGTCATCTGATAAGGTTAAATAAATTAATCAGTTAATTAAAGAATGAATAGATGAGCGGACGAATAGGAGACAATATGGATAGATGAAGATCTGAATCGAATAGATGAACGGACGAAAGAGCACACGAACGAACGATCAAAATGAGTGAATGAATGAACGAATGAACGAACAATTGAATGAATGAATGCATAAATGGATGAATGAATGAATAAAACAACATCTTTTCTATAATACCCACCTGTATAAGGGGATTCTGTTCCTGCAACTACTGAATCTAAAATAATAAAGAGTGACGTTTACGCTGTGTCAAACATGCTAAAAGCTCCACATACAGGTATACGATCATTTTAATTTTTTTCTTTTCGGTAGTATTAAAGTGATCAAGCGTCCTTGAAAAGAAAAAAAAACAGGATGGATTATTTACTACTTAACCCTATTCAGACCCCCTCCGGCAAAATCGTGATAACTCCTACACCGAAAGAGCTATGACGTTCAAATTTTCTGACTTTCCTAAAATTTATCTAGGAACATTTTGGTATAATTACCATGTCCATGTGATTAATCATGTTGCCATGGCAACCAGTTTCTGACACATAGGTTTTGGAAAATTTAAAAAATGGTGATTTTTTTATTTTAAGATCGCGTTTTTACACTTGTGGTGCTTTTTGTTGTTAAAATGGTCTTTGCTTGGGACTAGTTTTTGAATTACATCAAAATGTTTCAACATCGAAAATTTGGGGGGGAGGGGCGGGGTAAAATTTGTCACTTTTTTGCTTTGACAAATATGCGGCTCTATTTTTCAAATAACACTTCCAAAGTCATTTGTTTGGGTAATAAACATTAGTTTGATACTTCTTTTATACATTCTGAGCTTTTTCCCCTTTGAAAGTTGCTTTAAATTATAATTTTAACAAAAAAACGGAAATCCAAGATGGCAGATCCAAGATGGCGGACAACCATTTCAAATTTTAAATTTTATTGCTTCCTATTGCTTTTTCTCGCTGTACAAGTGTTTCCTTGTTGCTAGTTCATAAGAAAGGATAAAAAAGAGATGACTTTACCAATATTATTGATATTTTACGTATCTAAGTGGAAAAATACTAAGAAACATTGAAAAATCGGAATATAACGTCACTGTGACGTCATCATTGGGCGTGGCAAGTCAAAACTGAGTGTGGGGCTTCTTTGTACGGAGATGATCATTGTGTGTAAATTTCATGACCCTAGCATTATTGGTTCCAGAGATACAGAGGGGGGTCCGAGGAGCGCCCCCCCCCCCAGTCACAGATTGACCAAAAAAGCCCAGTCTGAATAGGGTTAATTCAATTTCATACTACTCTTTACAAGAGTAACCATTGTTCAAGTTAGAGTCTGAATTGCTGATAAGAAAGTTGTCTCTGTCTCATTATTTGCACGGTCTCGAGAGAAATATATAAAAAATATAGAATGAATATCTGTAAAATTAATACAATTTGTTGTTGTTGTTGTTTTAATTTGTTGTTCTTTTTTGTTTTGTTTTCCTTTGGTGATAGTGCATGACAAATGTGGAAAACACACAACAAAAAATACAAACGCCATTTTGCCAATGAAGAAAAAAAAAAATATAATAAATAAGAAACGTTATCGTTATAATTAATAATGAAGTTTTTTTTACTATCAAAGTGAACTTTGATGTATTAAAGTGATATAAAATCCTCAAGGAAATTGAGGACTTGATACAACATTAAATCATTCCCTGTTTGCATACGAAGACAAATGGTCTAATGGATTCCTCCAAATAACAATAAACCACATTAGATACTCCTCAACGTCGCTTTAACAATTCGAGGACCGTTTTTTTGCAGTGATTATAAGGCTCTTTGGCTTATTCTCTTTTCGCTGAACGAAATCCCATCGTCAAGCTGTGATAGCTCTTTCACACTCCTGTCGATCGCATCTTCTCCATATCGAGTAATATCGGGAACAAATGTGCACAATTCGTCCAAATATACAACAATGATCCACGCTCAATTTTTCCAATGTCCTTTTCAGAATTCTAAGTCCATTTTTTGCAGATGATATTATCAGTGTTCTTTAGAATATTCCCATTTATACAAAACCCATCTCTATAACTGATGTGTCGGGGAAAAAAATACGCTTTACTAGTACCCCCTAGAATATTCCAAACATATTCGTAAAAGGCACTTGGAACAAAAGTAATACTAAGTAAAGGAGGTGAGAGTAAAGTGTTAATGTAACTTTAATGAATAAATTAATGAGAATCGAGTGAGTGAGTGAGTGAGTGAGTGAGTGATCGAGTTCCATTCGAGTGCCTCCAAAAGCCCATGGCATGAATACGTCATCCATGAGCTAAAAAACTAAGGAGGAAAGTGAATATGTTACAGTGCCCAAGCAGTTTAAAACAAATGAATTTCAAAACTGAACTATTCTCAAGCCTTCTAGTTACTATAAATACAGAGGTGATAATCTTCAACATTCGGTTGTCAATAATAACGAAATTTAATCGCAAAATTTAAGAGCAGTGACACTTTGCACCAATACTCGTTTACGATTCAATTCATCCATGAGCTCGCTCCTAGGAGCCTTTGATTTCCCCTATGTTTTCAGTACAAAAACCCTTAAGAGCGACTTTCTGTAACTTAGTATCACAGATAGGTCTCAAAGTTCTTTGTCACGCAATCCCTCTTTTCGCTGAACGGAGTATTCGGGTCTGTTGGTAAAAAATGTGAGGTTGGTAAAATCAGGGGGGGGCTACTTCCCATACATTCTCTTAAATGAAATCCAAACGGCGATGTTAGCGATCAGCAAGGGTCTTGCCAGCGGATTTGTGTACTGATCATGCGCATTACATTAAAAACCACAGATAACGGTCTTGAGAAGAAACAAAAACATGGCGGTCGAAGGCGGACTGTTTCTCACTATTATATTTTGGTAGTTTGCAAATTTATTCGCTTTGTCGCTTTTCAGACATAGTGTGTGGTTTTCTTTTTCTGTTAAACAATTTCCCTCTGCCGAGTTTGGAATATGCAACATGTAGCTACGTATAGCTGTTAAGAACCGCTGAAGAGATAAGCTATCGAGCAGTGTTTTGCTGCAAACACAGAGCTTTCAGTAGTAGTTGTGATTTGTTTATTAGAATCGTTTGAATTTTAACTTTGGATTCAAGGTGTTGACTGATCGAAATAAACGAAGTGAAATGTTATGAAGTGTTCATTTTTATTCAGTTATGATATGTAGAGCTGTAAGCTCATATTCATAAAGCTCTCTTGAAAAAAATTGCTTCCGATAAATGTGACACTTGCTCCAGTAATTTTTTATCAGCGTCAAGTTATCCTCGCCCGGCAAAAACGATGAAACCTATAAATAAATCAATCGAGCGCGTTGTGGTTGGTTAAGATCTAACACGGTTGCGTTTTAGTTCCCCCGCAATTTCAGTACCGAAAGGCAAATACGATATGCAAGAAAAACGAAGATGCATGATATTATTTTTTTCAAATTTTTAAGCTTATCTGGTTTCCTCTGCCGGTTGGCTTCTTGCTTCTAAAAAGTCTAAAAATATTTACTGTGGGAAACATACTGCAATTATCCGCTGACCATCACGCAGGGTGACCGCTTTTCAAGATGTGAGAACATCGTTTCTCGGTCCCAGACCTCGTCTCTTCCCCCCCGCCCCCCGCCTGGTCAAAACGTTTTCCTTTTATTTTTTTATAGCTATAACGATTTGTTTCATGAGAAATGAGAGCCGAATAGAATAGCTACCGACACTAAAGTCGTTTTGTACATATATGATAACAGTGTTACAAATACGGCAAAAGTAAACAAATACGTACGTAAGGGAAGTATTGTAGTCAAGAAGTTCATAGCTCACTTTCGCACAATAAAATTGCTTTTCCTTTTGAAAATTTACCACTGTGAAATCTAAACTCGTTTTTGGTGTTTAAACTGGCGGAAAAGGGGCGAATTTGCGCCAGAGTTTCAAGTGCTGTCTAAGTTCTCGCTTGTATTCATCAATACAACTGCAAGTTCAGAGGTCGTAAATCACGCGAGTACCGTAAATGTTTTCAGTAATTTTTAATATATAGGATGGCACCTTACCAGTTGGCTTGTCAGTCCAAAGAATCCTCTTAACTAGAAGAATAATACATGGAGCAAATCTTAATAATTATCTGCAAGAGAGGATCTGTATATACATGTATATCTGTCTGGATTTGCAAAAAGGTACCTCCAGGATTTTTGAGCAACTGTTTCATTTTCCGTATAGGCCATTTTTCCCCTTATGTTTTCAGTATAAAAACCCTTAAGAGCGACTTTCTGTAAATACTACGGATGGGTTTTAAAGTTCTTTGTCACGCAATCCCTCGTTTCGCTAAAGGGAGTATTCGGGTCTGTTGGCAAAAAAATGTGAGGTAGGTTAAAATGTATTCCCTTTTTTATAGCTATAACGATCGATTTGTTTGTATGTATGAGAAATGAGAGCCGCAGCTACCGACACTAAAGCCGTTTTGTACATATAATTATATGATAACAGTGTTACAAATACGGCAAAAGTAAACAAATAGGCATGTAAGGGAAGTGTTGTAGTCAAGAAGTTCATAGCACACTTTCGCACAATAAAATTGCTTTTCCTTTTGAAAATTTACCATCTTGCACACCTATCCGTGTTGTTTACAGAAAGTCGCTCTTAACAAGCTGCAGTAGACCAAATATATATGTATATATATACATATATATATACATAGCACAAATGAACTGAAACCAGTGAAAGTAAAAATTGCCTTAAATATATATATATATATATATTTGTTTTTTGAGTAGAACGTATATATATATATATATATATATCTGTCTGGATTTGTTAAAACGTGGCTAAAGAAATTCCAAGTGCATTTTAACTATTTGACATCTAAGTGGAATGGGAAGCAGTTAAAAGTCACTAGCTGAAGCTAAACAATGACAGCATTATTGCTGGCAATAGACGGTAAAGTTCTCTTGCAGAAATAACGGGATTTTGCGATGAAATAAACAACATTTGAAACGTCCAGAAATTGTAATCTTTTAGTCAGTCAAAGCCTAAGGCCCACAGCTCAGTGTCGGCCGAAAACAGATTAATAATCCACACTCTCTGAGCACAGAATAGGCTTTCTAAGACAAAATCACCTAATCTAAACACTCACGAAGCGTTTTCACGCTTGACACAAAGTATTCTAGTAACACGAGCTCAACCGCACATACCTGAGATTTGTCTGTCAACACTTTCGGTAAATCACACAATAAATGACTTTCGCGGCAATCACAACACTTCTCACAACCACCCATGATATTTCTACTCTTAACACGGGCGAAACATCGTCAAATTACTCCGTAAAACTCTCGCTTTCTCCACATAAATCGTCACATGGAACTTTTCTCGACTCACTGACAGTCGATATATTCAAGATCCCCGATGTAAACCAGCGGTTGAAAAGGAGACATACAGCCCCCACCTTCCACACAATTTTTTACTAAGTCTTTGGCCTGCTCTGAAATCAGCATGAATTTCCATCTTGCCTAATAGATTTCAACCCTAGAACCTACTTTGTGAGGCCAAAGACTTGTTACTGCCAACAACAAAGCTCGCAATATCCAATCTTTCCGTCTCAAGCCCGGGATCAGTCTTTCACAAGTGTAGCCCGAAATGAGACGAAATACCAGAAGACATTGGACGCAGCAGACTTTGCCAGAGGTGAGAATTGTTCTTTCAGAAGGCTTATTAATGATGCCTCCCGGAAAACTTTGCTCAAGGCAGCCAAAAAAACTCTTAAGACAACCCACTATGAGAGCCGAGTTCAGTCCAATAAGCGCGCTGATTTCAAACTGACATAACGAAAGAATTATGGGAAGTTACGAAAAACAATAGGTTAATAGCCAGAGAGAAACTAATCAAAGTCTATCTACTGTGGCCTATCCGATACCGATTAAATAAATAAAAAACAACGATGAAAAAAAAAAACATGCTCCACTACAAGGCTCAGTCAGACGGTACATAAGAGAGATTTCTGTAGCCATGTTTTTGCAAATCCAGACAGATATATGTGTGTGCCTTTAATGCTGTTTACATCTTTCCCTACCCACCCTCCCCAACATATCATTTCCCATAATTCTCTCCGTGACATAAAACACTATTACATTTGAAATCGGCGTGCGGTGTAAAAGTTGTTTTCCGTGGTTGGTTAATTTTCTAGGTTTCTTTCTGGCCGCTTGCAGCAAAGTTTTCCGGAAGGCATCATTAAGCCTCAGATCATGAAGGAAAAAGTCTCACGATTGGCAAAGTCTGCCATCGTCCAATATGTTACCGTATTTGGTATCATTTTGGCTAAACGGGTGAGACACTGATTCTCGGGCTTGAGACAGAGGGGCATTACTGATATTGAGAGCTTTGATGTGGGCGGTGACGAGTTTCTGGCCTCAAAAAGTAGTTTTTAGAAGTCAAATCTATTCGGCCAGAGCAAAATTGAGGCTGATTTCTGACCAGGCCAGAGACTTGGTTGAAAATTGTTTAGATGGCTGGCCTCTATGTGTCCCTTTCAAAACGGCTCGTCTACATCCGGGATCTTGAATAACTCGACTGAGTCAGGGAAGTTAATACATCTGATAATTGATGTGGAGAAAGCGAGAGTTGAGTGAGTCAGAGTAATTTGATAATATTTCGCCCGTATTAAGTGTGGAAACATTGTGCCAGGTTGGTTGTGGATAGTTTTATCAGTTCCGCGAACGAGGTTAATTGTGTGATTTCCTGAAGTTGTTGACAGACAGAATTTACAGGTATGTCGTGCTGCTCGTGTTAATATAAGAATATTGTGTACATGCATGAAAACGCTTCGTGAGTGTTTAGTGTTTTGTCTTAGACAACCGATTCTGGGCTCAAGAAAGGTAAATTCCAGCTCTGTTTTAGCGGGCATCTCGCCGTGATTCTCATAATTTGAGAGACCGAAAGGTCGGTTCGGAGAAGCAAATATTGCCTATAATTTTCTACTGCTTGAGGACGGCTATAAATTTCTAGATGACCGTTCCATTCATGTACAATTTTCGAAACTTATCTCATAAATTTCATACGATTTTCTGACGATTAATTTTTCACATTTTCCTGTACTACTGTTTTTCTTGGAAAGAGGAAACCTAAAATTTTCGGATTCAAATGTGTGATTGAGATACGAATTAGAAAAATTCTCTCACATTCGTAAAGCTATAAATTGCATTAGAAATTTTTTGGAAAGTAATACTGAAGCCCTTGAAATTCTGAAAAGACTGAAAGTCCCTAGGATTACCGAACAGTTACAAATTTTATAGCGCCACTTAGAATGTATTTCTAGACATCTAAAACTACTCTGGATAGCCTAAAAAGTGTTTTTAACGTGTTTAGGAGGAAATCGTCGTTGGGAGCCCCTGTCAAATTGTTAAAACGCCCTTGAAATTTCTCTAGGTACTTCATTATAAATCCAGACAGATATATGTAACATTTTCCTTTTCTGCAGGAGGGATGGAAGAGGTCAATTTATTTTTCAAAGTAAATACAAAATCAGCTTTCATAGGCATCAATAATAGTCGAAAATTGCAAATTAATTTATGTATTTATTTATGTTTGCGTTTGGAAATATTCAACAATGCCCCCCACCACACCCACCAACCCCCCCTCCCCCGCCGCCCCCTTCCTGACTTTGGGTTTAGATATTCGTTATTGAAGGTTTTGTTGGCGGGACGTAAACTTGTCACCTCCACCTGGTTAGCGGGATAGTTGGATGAGTGCCCGTAATCATGACGTTCTGGCTTCTTGTCTGTTTTTTGTCCGAAACATCGCTCTTGCCATCACTAGTATCAAGAGAGAATGAGCCAAGAGAGCGAATCCCTGTGCCCCATGATAATTTTTTTTAAAATCTATTTAAAGTTCGCGCGTGTGCTGCGAAGGTTATTTTTGTCTGTTGCTTCCGTGACCCGCGCGGTCTACTTTCACGTGAACATGTCATGTTTCGCCGCCAAACATTTGAAGTTTGACTGCCATTTCAGTAATCAGCGCCAGCAGCCGATACTAATCGGCTCCTGTTGTTGACATGTATTTGATCAGCACTTTCCTCTCATAATTTAGGAACGAATTTCATTTTCAAAAGGATTGCGGTATTGGAGTCAAAATTTCACCTTGAGATTAAAGCTTGAGATTTTCTAACGGCTGGCAGCCTCATTTAAGGTAACGAATATTGAATTCTGACACACTGTGAAAGCCAGAGGCAAAGGTTATCACGCGCCAAACACGAAGCCTTTAATAAGTGGCTGGCTGCAATTGTTTATGCAAATGTGCAAGATATTTTTTCGCTTTTTCCAGGAATATTTTTCGTTCAGAAACAGCACATTTGCTTTTAAGAATTATTATTTAGAGTTTCAAACTTCTTAACGTCTAATACTTGCGATGAATATTTCGCTGTGCAAACACAAATCAGGCCAGACGCTTCAAGCTGTTAAACAGTCGCTAACCTGGATGCCAGAGAGTTTTGATGCACAGTTTCCGGTTTCGATCAATTCCTAATAGTGAGCGGTGTGCCCACATTTGTCTAGCGTCCTCGCAAAATTCAAATGTTTGGCGGCCAAACATTCATGTTTGAACCCACTTTGATCCTATTAGAGACCTTTAGCATCAGGTAAACCCCAAATCGCAGTTACGCGTTTGCAGTTTCGCGTTTCCGAGATTTCAAATTTTATCAGTTCAGTTCATTTTTATTTAGCCAAAATATAATACAATACAAGAATACATATAGGAATTGTAATGTTGCAAGGGAGCCCAGAAGAAACCAGAAGGCTTTGTGAAGCCTGGGCTCACCAGTCTCAAAGAAATAAGCAAAATAAAATGAAATTCGCGGAGTGATACGTTAAAAATAGGAACTAAAGAGAGACTGAGTTAAGTTATAAATTCAGTAACAAGATAGAAAAAAAAAATTTAACTCTGGATTGGAACAGAATACTTTCCTTAGTTAGTACCGCAGAAAGGCATATAAAAT